CGTCAAAGCCTCTATTTCTGATGCCTTGAAATGTAAGTAAAGGTTTTCTTGAATTTACCAATACTTTAACCGAAGAAAGCGAAAAAGAAATGCATTTAAAAGGAAGCCACAGATCACACCAATCGTGACTGTTAACTTTATAAAATGGAATAAGCAGGGTGTTCAGAAATGTGTCTACCATCTTATTCTCAAAGGCCAAACTAAAGGGAAGAGTAGAGCCAAATAATGGAAAGAGGTGACTAAGTAAAAATGACTAACTGAAGCGAGCGACAAATCTCCCAAGCGTGGAGTATTAACAGCAATCAGACGAAGGCAGCTACTCAGTAACCGCAAAATTGGAAGAGATTTCAAGCCAACGGACAGCTTAGAGGCCTTAGGATTGTCTGGTGAATGCTTTAGCGATGAGGATGGTGATGCAACTTTGGAAGAGTTTGTGGAGCTGGGACGTAGGAGCGAGAAGGCGCAATTTTGAGCTAATCGAACTGCTGCGGAGTAAACAGACGCCCAGATGTCTGGTGGAAGGTAGATTGACGCACCGTCAGGCTGGAAAGATGAGTCAAGATGGTTATTTAAATACTTCCTCAGTTTAACGAATAAAATGAATGAAAAGTTCACCAAAAGACGCTCTTCACGATGACCCTCAGCGAAGAGGACTGCTGTGCCTACACATGTAGGTGAGAAGAGTTTTGTGACACCGGGTGAGGAGCGCATGGCGCACCAGTAGAGGTCTAGGATAGCCGAGGTAATCAGCAGGCCCCTCGGTGGAACCGCGAGGAGAGCACAGAGCTGTTCATGATTATTGAGGAGAAAGGTTTTAAGCAGATGAGCTATCGGTGTGCCATCACCGGCACCGCCTCCCTGCACCACCAGAAGGGTGATTAAATGCAGTTGAGAGAGCAGAAATTCACTCCAAGAAGTGTTGGGGAAGAGATCCTCATGAGCTACTTCCTGTTGGAGGAGAAAAAAAAATGAAAACCTTTTTCCTGCCAGCTTCTACAAGCAACTGAAAGATCGATTCATTCTGAAGAAACAATCTATTTCACCTGAATACATCTGTGGTGAAGGTCGCCCTTTTGCTAATACTCACTGTTATGATTTCAAGATATGAAGAAGCATGAAACTAACTTCGAAAATTAGACAATCTAGGAGGAAAGAGGTGCAAGTCTAACTTCATTCGACACAGTTAACACCTGTTTGAAATCAGAACCAATGTTGGGGTAGGATGTTACACATCCTCTCGTAGTCGGTGTGTTCCATGAACGAAGCCGACAACAGTGTTAGACGAAAGGCACAGAGTTGTGTCGAATTGAATCTAGTAAATGAACTAGTTCGAACCGAGACAGTTCTGAAGGGATCAAGCAAAAAACTACACCCACGTACGTATCTACTTTTAATAAGCACAAATATTTCATCTACGATGAGATCTTGAGATCAGGCGTGCTGAAAAGAAAGCCTAGAAAAGGAGGCACCAGTCAAAATCCAACAATCAGTCAGGCATTTGACTGAATAATTTTTGCAATAAACTTTTGAAAATATCAGTGGAAAGAGAAGTTGACAAGCCTCGTGTACAAGTGGGGGAAAAAAATTTTTCCTCGGAGGACAGGCCATTAGTGTGAAAACGCAGCATATCCCACCATGGAGGGGAACCAAGAAGGCTGTGGAACAAAAAAATGTTCAAAAGATAGCCAAAACACATGCATATTCAAGTTGATGAGTAAAAAGATGCAGCGTAGTTGAGACATTTAGTCATCCAACGCAACTAAATGATAAGGTAATAACTCTAAAGGTGGAAAACACGATGTCCATACAGGAGATTCGCATTTATCCGCCTGACCCAGCCATTGCATTAGTTGCTGTATGGGCGGTAGACGGAGCGCCTGGCCCAGAGTCACCGCGTAGGAGGCCAAGATATGAATTGACTGAGAGCGCGACCAGCCGTCTTGACGATTGGAGGCAAGCCTGCCCCCCAGTGAAGCCGGTGAGAGGATCGGGTTGCGTGCACGCTCAGCAGGCAAAAGAAAACGCGTGAGCAAACGCACAATAGTGTGGCCGAGGTCGGCGCCATTGAAGGTCTGTAAAGAGTCCAAGGTGAACTCTACTGCAGTTTCACACAACGTAATGGTGTCTGCAGTTCTGGTGGTTCAATATTTGGGGACTTTTAACAGCCTACTCTTTCCCGAAGATTATCGTATGAGAAATTCCAACTTTTTTTAACCATCTAATACGAAAATTGGGGCGTGACAGGTCTGCTTGCTAGAGTTAACGGGGAAAGTTTTTGCTTCATTGTTTTTTTTTTTTGGAAGAGCAGACAGGCCTAAAGTTGCAGTTTTTTTAAGGAAAACAAAACAAAAATGACTTCCGTGATAACAATAATTGCTTACCAGTGAGTGTTCAGCGAGAATACCAATGAGGTTGTTTATTATGCCAGCGTCCACAAGACAATTGATGAGGTGGATTGGATCAAATTTGTTCCAAATTGCTTGCATCAAATTCATAGCCTGTTCAAAAGCCTACGAAGGTAGGTAATAAATTTAGGGGTTTCAAATTTCACACAAGAGTGAGGAAACAATCCAACCTGTGATTCGACAACGGTTATGCGGGAAAGCAAGGATATGTCCTGAAAGACTTCCATGCAGAGACTGAGCAAGCGTTCGTACAGATGAGATGGCACATGTGAACACTTGGGAAGGAAAAGACAGATGAATGCCATTAAGTCTGCATGAAAATGTGAGTAGGTCTTGTAGGTCGATGGTTTGGAGCCGATGGAGAGAGCTTTGTGCTCCAACAACCCTACGGCTTGTTGTATCCACTCGTAAATCGGCAGTGTCGACATTTGAGAGGATCTAAAATGTATGCGATACCAAATGCGAAAGGAAAACATCTTATTGACAACACCAGTGGCTAAGTAACTTCAAAGTCTTTAAAGAAGCATACCTGACGAGGTAGTCAGCAGATGCCGCCAAACAAACAGCCAATTGGTCAACAATTGAAACAACTGGTCGACTGTGCGGTAGGGAAGCCTATAACCAAAGTTCCTACATGAGCTAGCAGCGACCAGATCCCCTTACGGTTACAGTTGACCTCGATACCAAAAATGTTGGTAGCCAAGGCAAGTAAATTTATACAAGTTAGAGATCATTGTGGTAATAAAATCTTTTTTGACCCTAAGAGACTCCATAATTCCCAATCCTCAGAGCAAATATGGTAAAAAAGGGGAAAAGAAGTGAACAGATGGATGTCCAATCCTTTTATCTCGTGAGCTATAATCCGCAAACTTGTCGAAGTGGATAATTTGTTAGCGTTTTT